ATTTTAATAGCCTAAACATGTTTTGGACAGTTATGATAGCGCATCTATTTGTGCAAAATTTCAAATGTTTCATGACAGTTTGTCATATAATTCATTTCCGTGTAGGTTCTTGAATATAGTTATATAATTGTTTGTAAACCTCTCTTTTCTGTGCAGTAGTGAATGAAATTAACATATCAACAGACATTGCATTGTTTATCATCATTTTAATAATCTTATCAAGATAAACGTTTGATAGTCGGTGTAAAAGTGCAAACGACACAAGCGTGATAAAGGCACACGCAAATTGTCAAACATTTTACCTTTCCTTTACTTAATTTTTTTGTGGGCGCAATCATTGCATCCAAATCATCTTACTATGAGTTTAACATATGTCTGCCTACGCTGGACAAAATATGTCCTAGACTTTGTCATGATATTCAGGAAATCATAATGACTCTTAATTTTAAAACTACCTGGCCAATTAACTACTTAAATTTCAATTATTTAAATGATCAAATGGTTAAATATATATTTCTACTTAATATTTAAAAAATATCGTGAACTCTTGTAAAGAATCAAATCTACCAAATTAAATAGAACCCTTCCCCTTCACCTGCTGAATTTGTTTAATAGATTCGCCCTGTTTTTAATTTGGTGAGTTCAGTATCAAGATACAAAACTTGAATACCAAGAGTAACGAACTCGCAAGATTGTACAAGGTAGCTTATTTCGGCCTATGCATGTCAAAGATTTATCGATTCCGTGAAAATAGCATGGCGCAAAAGAAAACTGTTGGCGGTCTCAACTTGACATTGTAAATTCGTTAATCAATGACTTAAAACAAAAACGTCTGCTTATCTTTATTAGACATCTTTGTAAGTGTACTACTCAAAATTAATCAATTGCGCAGCTTGCACCGTTACGCATCATTATGAGGGAGATAACCTAAAGTATTCCTTGAAATGTAGTCAACACATTTACTCCTCTTTGATTATTATATAGAAGGTCTATAATGGATTCCAATTATTTTAGTTTAGCATAAATTGTAACAAACAAACACAAGTTTAATGTCGTTGTCTTGACTTTATTTGTTTTAAATAAGTAAAAAGCCTTAAAATACTAGTTTAAAAATTTGGAAGTCCATAATCCTTGGATTAAAATTGCCGACCTTTTACTAGTTTACCAACTTATTTGAAAAACGTTGTCGATTTTAGTTTAACTTTTGTATCAGGTACATAGAATATCAAATATGTCGTGTATACTTTTACTTATTTTATCTATAGAAATACATGCAGTTAGAAAGAAACATTATTTTAAAATTACAAAAGAAACTAATGAATAGCGTATTCAGTGTTTTGGCTGATCTTAGTTTTGATCGTAAATAAAGAGAGCGGATTTAGAAAAAAACGTAGATTTTTGTCTGAACTTTTGCGGAATATAATTACCATTCGAATTTTGAAATGAAATCATTTAAGATCTTTGACAACCCTATTTTCAATAATTTCGCCCTATAAAGCATATATAAAACTGCATATATTTATAAATTAAAGTTTTTCATACAATTCAAGAACGAAAGTTTAATCAGTCAAGAGAAAATAAGGAAAAATGACAAAATGAAAAACTTTCATCCCCTAAGGTTTTGAAACTACGCATCATGTAGATTATGTTTCTTCATTGAAAATGAAGGCAGAATTTAACATTAATTCATTGATGGGTAGTGTTTGTTTATACTCTTGTATGTTAATGATATCGAAATATACTCCGTCATTAGATATTTTAAAATAATCCCTTACATGTTGATGTTCAGATACCGAGGAAATCGGTAATTACTAGTATCTAGAAATGCCAGATTGGCCTATCGGCCTCCGAGATATGACCGCAAATATGTTTTAATTGACGTCAAACTAAACATAAACCACACCAAAAATACATAAAATAAATAATAATAAAAAAATTTATTCGAAATTCCACCTTAGTCCAGAACATTTTACATATAAATAATAATACTATATTGAATTATCCTATATATATATGTATAAGGCAGCTGTTGTAATAAACTCATACGTACAATTTCAACAGTTTCAAATTTCTTAATGCGTGAATTACAAAATCGCATGACGTATCATGATAATCAGTGGCGTCAAATTTGCTGTTGTAACAATCGAAATATTTACTTATTTTCTATCACTATTCAAGCGTTTGGCGAAAGATGTCAAAATTCTCGTGCTACGCTCTAGTATATTTTCTACTATTTCTTATCATTCTTATTTTTATAGATCTGATCAAAAACAAAGGTTCATTACATGCTTTTTTCATTTAGATTTTAAAGATTTACTCATGTGGATTCAAATGTCATGATTAAGCGTCTGTACTGCGATGTGCAACATTGATTAATTAATTAATTAATTAATCAATGCATAAAATAAAGACGTGTTTCAACATAACAACCAAGTAGGAGTGTTTTTTCAATGCTCGATTACACAATGACAAAACATATCTATGATGATATTACAAGCTTGATGTAAGCGACCTTGAAAAGAATTTAAGAAATAAACGTAGAAAAAACGTAGAATTTTTTTTTTCTATTTTCTCCCACTCGTAGCCTCACAGAATAACTTGTTTACGTTATATGCAAATTAACTCAAAATTGTTGCATATAATTTATTTGACTGCGAATGGTTTAAATAATCTGACCAATAACTAATCCATAATTGAGAATACTTATTGTGTTTTTATAAAGGAAACATCTTAATTTTGTTTATAGTAAAATACTCATTACATCGGTGACAGTTTAGAAACAACTTTTTGGGAGTGCCTGACCTTAGCTAATAACCCTAGCTAATAACCATATTTTCCAACCCATGGAAGTTGCTTGGAGGCAACCTGCCAAAACCCTAAGATCACCCGGTTCAGAATAAGCATTTGAAAAAAGTTCTAATAGTCATATTTTTTAATTTTTATAGAACTTCTGCGCATAAATGTTTACCTGTTTAATTCTCAATGCTATTTGCGTCTAGCAGAAAACTAGGGAATAAATTTGCTATTTCTTCGGAGATAATTTAACGTATGTAACCTACAAAACATTTCACAAGTTATATGTTTAAAAAAATCAGCTGGTCATACGTATAAACAGATAATTCAATTCGAAATTGAAGAAATATCATTTTCACTTATATATGTCTGGCCATTTGAAAAAAGCTGATGGCCGCTGAAGTCACAGACTGTTGTTATACATAGACGGTTCATTGGCTATGTTTATGTAACCGGGCGCCCTGATTGGCTAATGATATCATTCAACCTCGCATATTGGTGGAAACAAATTGCCAGTTGACACCTTCTAATATCTTTGGCACAAATGACTTCTCCTTGACATCTTGAGAGAATAAAGAGCAGAATAGGGACCGAAAACAAAGAAATATTTTGATTGAATATTGCCAATATCTTAAAACTACATCGGTATATTGCATCGTACAAAACTTCCCCTACTAAGTTAATGGTACTTAAAATTGATCGGGACCAGTTAACAATTCTTTTAATCTGTCTTTTTTAATAATAAATCTTAACATTATAGTGTGTCCCATAAGCCCGCTGCCCCTATCGTACCGATGCCACATTGTTTCTACAATCAGACTGATGAATCTGTTTTTTAAAGAAGACACTAACATTTCGTTATGTTACTTAAAGACTTTAATTGTTGCATGTACATTCAGACAATCTGTACTTCTCTACTTTGATCAGAACAACTAGCGGCCCATCTAATTGATTTAGGATGTATATTTATATAGCATATTATAAAACATGAAACACGAAGGCAAAAAAGAGAGAAATATTATTCAAACTGAACTCAAATGACATCAAATAACAGTAAAATACTCGACAATTTGAATGATTGAAAATTTAAAAAGCGACCTATGTTCGCCATTCGTTTCATTTTAAATGTTTTTATGGGCGCTTAACGGGGGTAATGTTTTATGTTTACGTAATTAAAATGCAGAGCATGTCAGCCAATGAAAATTCGATATTTTTCTCACTTTTTGTACAATCTAATGAATGTTTAAAATGATCAAACCATTTCGGTAGTGTGATCAGTTTAGCTCGCCATAGATAAGAAACATGAATTCATCAAAGGCTTTTGTGCTGCTGATTATTCTTTTAAATGTTGTGCCTGGACTTTGTCAAACAGAGTGGGTAGAAATTAGCATAGACTTGAGAAGAAGTATCGGATCGGCTGGAGACGCATCTGCTTATCTTGGAGGAACTTATGAAGGCATGTTGAAAGCCTTTGTACAGGTACCTCCAGGCCATGTAGGTTTTGATGTTGTTTTTATACACACATGTTTAATTATACAGACACTATTTATAATTGATAAACATATTGTGTGGTATAATATAATAAGAGCATACATTTGTTATATATTTTTTGTACCAATATTATAAAATTTCTGTTTGAAAGTCATTAATTATCCTGTGCACATACATATATATTTCATTACCAGACGCTTTATCTACATATACTTATGTTTTCCTTCTAGAAAAAAATATTCATACATAATAAAGCACATTACCTAATTGCAAATTCTCGAGCATTCTAATAGATAAAGATGTTTGAGTATATCTTTTTTCGAATGTTCTAATCGTAAATTGTTTCACTTCACTTTAATCTTTTTTGCAGAGTGGCGGTCCGTTTGCTCGTTATTATGTTTACTTTTTTGTCGGGTTTCCGGATGGAGAGGTAGGTTGTTAATGATTATAGTTATTAATCTAAATGACATCAAACAATCAATGAATATAAATTTAAAATTATGTAATAATTTCAATATTCTTCATTTGAAATATTTTCTTTTGTCAACGTATTTGTATATAAATAGTAATAAAGTTACGACAATTGAAGCAAATTTCAATAATTTGGCCTGCACATTCAATGTAAATTAAATCTTGTGGTCATATTGAATAATTCAACATATCGGAATTATCTTGTGTTTTTGTCCAGATATAAATCCAATATGTAAATCAATAAGATAAGTTATGACAATTTGGCAAATTTAAATAGCGATCAAGGTCAGATTTAAATTATTCAGCATCCGGGTATTGTCGCAAGGGTCCTTTTGTCAAAGTATGAAGCATATTCGTAAATAAATAACAAAGTTATGACGATCCGCGCTTATCAATGTTTACGGTCAAGACTTTTTTTTTATAGATCATGCCTATATTTTTATTATTCGAAATGTTAGTTATGTAACAGGTGTACGTCTGTCCAAGTATCAATCAAATCCATAAATAAATAACCGAGTTATGGCCACTTGTTACAATATAAGTGTCATTGGTAAATAAAAGTCAAGGTCAAATTTTACTTAAATCAAATCTTTTTTTTAAATCAATGTCTTGTCCCTAGGATTATTTAATCGAAGTGAAGACAGTCCTTTTATTACTTACAAACATATAGCCGATTATAGCAAACACAAGCAAAATTCAATAATCTTACCTTCAAGGTCAAGGTCATTGATGAGTGATGTCCATGTATAAAAACGATCCATTTGTAAATAACAATGTTAAAGTCAATTATAGCAGCAATCAAGCAACTTATAAACATCTGTCCTTGAAGATCAAGGTCATTTTTGAGCCATGGTCAAGTTAAGTCTGATATGTCTAAAGAGGTGTTTTCTCCTAGTATGAAAACAATCCATAAAGAAATAAAAACAAAAATGGCCAATGTTAAGGATTCAGGACAGCTTGGACGGTCGTGGCAACGGGACATGGCTGTACATTGTCAGTATCTTTTTGTGTAATTACAATATTTTGCTATATTTACCATAATATAAGTCTTTTTGTTGTCATAGCAACCAGTATTTTCAATACATGAAAAAATAAAAAAGAATCATAATCTCCTTACTGTCATCTATCCATGTTTTCATTTTCATTATAATATGTCAATACTTTTAGAATTATCAGCTGGTACATATTTTGCGGACGGACAGACAGACGGACAGTCGGTCGGACCGACGGACCGACGGAGTGCATAGAAATCTCAAATAAAAACGAAAATACATGGGTTTTTTCGACTTAAAGGAAATAGAATCATCGAGCGTTTCCATTTCAGATAAGAATGTGTAAAGGTATTGTTTTGTGGAGATTCCCATCGTTTGAAAGGATAACTGAACTGGCGAGGTGTGGTTTGTAGATAACAAATCAAAAGTTCACAGACAAAGGATTTCACCATTAGTAATCCGGATCAGTCGCCTTGATCAAGAAAGGATTTCACAATGTTCAGTCAGGACACTTTATATTATTATTCAGAAAAAATGTTTACAAATTATTCACATCATTAATAAATAGGAACTTACAATATCCTTATCATGACAATATGTCTTTGTAAATGAAAGCAAACATAAATCAAAGCACAGAAGGCGCTGAATTTGTTTGGGTCTCAGAATGTCAGAAAGGTGAAGGTTGTGAGATTATAAACCAATTTTTTTGTATAGTGCCACCAAAGCTTTCCAGCGCTTTAATTGTAGTAAATTGGCTATAAGACAAATTGCAACACTGATATTCAATTCAATGTTTATTGACTTAAACAATTTGAAAAAAAAATAAGTTGCCTTAACTGGGATTTGAACTCCAGACTTCTCGCTTTCTAAGCGAGCGTACAAACCCCTCGGCCACGGTGAAGTTATATGTTAAGTGCCTGAAGAAAACCATATTATTCTAAATTAGGGTTTGTAACGACGCAAACTGTTGTTTAACACAGATATAAATAATTTTAGAACTACCTATAAGCATGTATATCTATAAAGAATAAAACAATATTAGAAATCTTCGACCATTCGGGAACTATTTTGCTTGAAAATTAATGCGCCTGTCATTTGACCATCTTTACGCAGTGATTTCCCCTGAATATTTTGGTGTTAGTGTACATATGAAGGGAAGTAACCGCTTCAAAAAAGCGGACTACTTTCGGCATTTGCAATTAACAGCATCAGAGTCTGAAATTTCGCTACCATTATTTGTTTGGTCTGACGACCCAAACAAATAAAAACGCTAAACTTTGTAAGGTTTGCTGCATTCATCAATCATCAATTGCGCATGCGCATAATATTAAAGTTGAAATTGCCTTAAAACTGTAATCATTCATCAGTTTTTAAATTTTCGTTGAAATGAAAATTTTGCTTGGGGCAACAAATCAACATAAATGAAGATTTACTTATTCATTATTTTAATTCTCAATCGCATTATGATAATTAAAAACTAGTCATAGTTCACAAGAAATTGTGGCAGTTGTCACGTGACTACCGGTGAAATATGAGGCACTCGGTAGGAAAATTGACTATTTCTGTATATCAAGCGGGGTTATAAACTGTTTCAGCTTTAAAGTAGTTGAAGTAGATTATTATTATTATAATCTTATATATTGGCGTTACAGACAGGTTTCAAAATTCTTACATTTGTTTTATATGCAAATACGTAAACTTAGAAGTTGCAACATTACACACCAGAATGTCGTAAAGAACATCTGACACAGGCAGCACGCGCCACAACATTACCCACCAGAATGCCGTTAAAGAACAGTGCGCTCCGTGATTAGAAGGTACAACATTGCACACCAGGATGTCGTAAAGACCATATGACACAGTCTTAGATATAATAATAGATCGCATAAAGCAGTCATGTATACATGGCATTGCACCTCAAGGTTTTATATGGACAAGACATTATAGTGAGATTTCTACAATGTATTAAAAGACCATGAGGACAATGTATTAAACATAAATGTCCAGTAGATTATTCACGTATATAAAACTCTCTGTATCCGTATTGTTGCTGTTAAAGTTTCAGCATACTTGCATTTATTACAGTTTCCAATCGGTTCTTTATAAAAATACATATAACATAAAAGGGAAGTATTTGATCGCATCATTTACAATAATATTGACTCAACACCTAAGGTCGTCAGTACACCTACAAAAACGAAGGCATTATTTTTCAAGAACTTGGACTGCTTTTTCATTGATTGTCTGATTTCTAAAAAACCCTTCAGATGTTCTATTCTTTTCCCGTAAATGTCCTCAATTGTTTTTTTATACTGTTGCCTATCTTTTGAGATAAGAAATGTATCTAACCTGATTTTACGAAACGGAATTAAGAAACAGAAACACAGCAGATAAATCATTTTGAAATAAAGACTTTCTGGCATCTTGCTTTATATCTATTTACATTGCGTTTTTCATTATAAATTGAATTTAAATTGTTATATGGTGATATCTAATTTTTACAATTTATCTAATGCCTTTACTTGATTAATCAAATAGTACAAAAATAAACTGTTGTTGATTTACAATTACCAGTTTCAGAATCAAAATACAAAAAAAAAATAGAAAAAAAGCAAAAAAAAAAGCAACAACAGGCAAGCGTTAACGGAACTAAGGTAGAAAAGCCTAAAACTTAAAAGTTTAATTTTCTTACATAGATTTGTCAGGGCACTTAAAACAGAAAGATTTGCAAAAGATTATCAAAAACTTACTCCGAAAATCGTATTTTTATGCTTTTTAGCCCGATTTGAGTCAACGCCATTGTGACAGTTATTTACTTTCAATGATACTCGTATTTTACAGTAAAGTAGTTTTTTCTTAGATTTTTTCCATCTAAGACGCATACGAAATGCGCATGGTTACATATTACATACATTCAAATGAATTTAAACATCATGTGACATTCAAAGTTTACATAATTTCGTAGCTAAGTGTCAAACAATAATACAAATACAATTTCGAATAGCATTTACAAGTGCAATAGTAACTTAAAGGAAATAAATCTATGTTACAAACAAGTAAAAATAAAATCTGTTATCATGTCTGAAGATTCAGTTTCACTTAATTTTTATTTCCTTGCGTTTAAATGTATGTGGATATGAAATAGAATTTCCAAAATGTATTGAAAGAGTTGAATATCATCTTCTTTTAAAATGGCAACAAACAAACGTAAATTCAACGCATACAATTTGGTCAAGAAATACTTAAGACTCATAATGCCCCGGAAATGATTTTAATTTTTATTTTTCAAAAGCTTTTTTGGTGACCTGCGCAAATTAAAAAAATGACTCAATGGTCAATCGCTGAAACCAAATTTCTTTTGTTTCAATTTATTTAAGATTAGTACAACTATAGAAAGCAAGCTGTAATTATATAGTCAGAACATGACGTCTTGCACATTTTGCTATTTCTATTAGAAATAATTTCACTTTAAATGCTCCATTGTTCCGATGATAATTATCTAACATGTTCTAAAACCGTTTTATTTGTTTGGGTCGTCAGACCAAACAAATAATGGTAGCGAAATTTCAGAGTCTGATGCTGTTAATTGCAAATGCCGAAAGTAGGCCGTTTTTTTGAAGCGGTTACTTCCCCTTATATGTACACTAACGCCGAAAAATTTCAGGGGAGATCACTGCGTAAAGATGGTCAAATGACAGGCGCATTAATTTTCAAGCAAAATAATTCCCGAATGGTCGAAGATTTCTAATATTGTTTTATCCTTTATAGATATACATGCTTATAATAAGCTCCATGATTATTAACATCTGTGTTAAACAACAGTTAGCGTCGAAATGATAAGGGTTACAAACCCTAATTTAGAATAATATGGTTTTTTTCAGGCCTTTTACATATAACTTCACCGTGGCCGAGGGGTCTGGAGTTCAAATCCAGGAAGGCAACTCTTTTTTTTTCAAATTGTTTAAATCAAATAAACATTGAATTGAATATCAGTGTTGCAATTAGTCTTAAAGCCAATTAACTAAAACCAATTAAAAAACAAGGAAATGCTTTAGGAAATCCGCCCATGCATTTACTTGTTTGTAAAGCAAACACATTGTTTTGGCACAGACAAGTGGTATCACATCAGCTACTTTTACAGTAAAAAAAAACGATAAGTCGTTACTCTTTTCTGCTGGTTGTCTGACCTCATACATTATTTGCTGTGTAAATAAAGAATGGGTCGTCTGTAATAACGATTTTAATCTTTAATTTAACCCACATCAGACAGATTTTTCTTGGTTATAACATTGACTGAAATGTTTTAGGTATAATGCGAAATTATCATATCAATCATTCAAAATATTACTTCTGTTATTTCAACGCTGGAAAGCACTGGTGGCACTATACAAAAACAAATTGGTTTATAATCTCACAACCTTCACCTTTTTGACATTCTGAGACCCAAACAAATTCAGCGCCTTCTGTGCTTTGATTTATCATGTTTTCAAAAGAGAATTTTATTATAAAACATATAAACTTTTGTATTTGTATGCAAAAATAGAATTTTATTTTATGATTGTTGATACATTTCTACTTGACAACCGATCTCGGACATTGTGTCTAATAGTCATTTTTCGTGGGCCGTTGAGTCAACTATAACATGGATTCAATGAAACCGAGTTTGCAATTTTTATGTAATTTTGCTTTAAAATGCTTCTAAGGGATCACGTTGTTCCAGATATTTAGTGGTGAAAAGGGTAATTACTTGTTAGATATGAAGGAAAGCCGGTTAGATTGATTGGCCACGAAAAAGATGACCAAATTTTGTTAAAATCGACGTGAAACCCGGAACAGAACTAACATAATATCAAATTTATTCCTCCTCAGACCAGATTTTTGTTTTCATGTAACTCATATGTCATGATAATTATATTATATTATCATTTGATAATATAATATTTCTCATAATTCCTTTTTTAGTATCTGATTAATCATAGGTTAAGATGTAAAACAAATACATGCATTTCGCCAGATTTAACAACTTCTGTTCATATTTAATGATAAAGTGTCTTGATTGCGGTGTGCAACCACAATGATGCACCTGTAAAATAAAACATTTATACATAATAAAACATTAAAAAAACAAATTATTATTGCTTTAACATTTTGTATGCGTGATGACAAAAAGGCAAAACAAAATTATTATAATATTTCAAATCCGGTGTAATTGTAAATACAGCTAATACGCTTTACCTTTTATTATCTGTTTACATCAATATTGACAAATAGGGGTGTCTTAAAGTGTCGCCTAAATCTTTTACCACCTAATCAATCACTCATTTTTAAAGCGTTAAGCATAATAGTTTAGTGGCAGAGTGTTTGCTCTGTGAGTGTAGCCCTGGTTCTAATCCTAAAAAAGACATGTTTTTTATCTTTTTTATTTTTACTTTTAATTTATTTTTTTACAAAGAACTGGATTTTAGTTCCACGTGAATTCCATCACACAATGCTATTTGAGAACAATTAGTTAAACACACATTCCCATTCAACAGGTTAACTATAAGACAACACAATCGTGAGTAGGGTCATAAATGACCAATGGAAATATATATAGTTATTATTAATATATATATATATATTATATATATATATAGTTTATAAAAATGAGCCAAATTGTTCAAAATGTGGCGAACAGAATTCAGAGTTTCAAACAGAATAAAATTGATGATACTATTCAATCTGTTCAATGACAGTTAAAAATCACATACATTCAATTTTCATTAACCGTCATAAGTTTAACTTCAAATTGTGCATAATAAAGGAGAAAATGAAAAGTAACGTGACACACTATAGATTATATTCTCAAAGTAAAAACCATTCTGAAAAATATGCAGAGTTGCAGATTTGAACTCGAAAAAATACATGTTCATAACCTGAAAGTTTCATAATCTGAAGTCTCTAACTACTACGCTTATCAGATTTACGTGTCTATTTTCACTTTAATTTATTCTTCAAAATTGCAATAGAAATGCAAAATGTAATAATTGAAAAACTGAACAACCCATTATGTCATAATGGTACGACCGATTAATGTAAACGGTATCGTGTTCGACTGCTACCTTCTTTTATTTTAATAAAAATAAAATGAAGAAACAAAAGGAAAAAAGATTATTGACTATTTTATTTTCCGCATTACTATGTCTTGCCCCTATGTTTATGCAAATACTTGAATTTGCCAAATTAGTGTTGCGTCCATTAACATTTGAATCATCGAATTAGAACTAAATCCTTTTACTTTTTACTTATAGCTAATTTTAAATTTGAAATACGTAATGAGTTTTATGAGGAACCATCTCAATGCTGTCTAAAATGAAATGCGAATAAATTCAGTGAAAATTTAAAAGACATTTTTGGACTGACGAAATTAGAGTGCCTGACCATAGTTACCTTTCAAATAATTACTTTAACGAATTTTTTTAACTTCAAGGCAAAATTCGGAAGCCAAAGATCATCCAGATAAACATACGCGTCTGAAAATAGTTCTAATAGGAACATTTTTATAGAACTACCTCGCAAAAGATATTAAAATGCGTATTGCGTCTAGAAGAAATGTACATCCGAGTGCGAGCGTCATTCGTTGTATTTCAGTGCGCCATAATGCACTTTACCGGTATTTTTTTTACAACGCATTGTTTACAGCGCGAAATAATTTAAAAGATAATGATGAAAATAGCATTTTTCTTTTAACTATTAATAAATGCTTAAGAATATATTCGATAAATGTCGATCTATCCATTACTTTTGATGATTATTTTGTAAAGAAAAATAGTTTTTCTATCCAAAACATTTCTTGGATTTATTTTAAATAAATTGTAACAAAATAGCAATGAAAGTATGATAATACTTTGAGTCTTTAAATTAGTATTAGTATCAATGTAGTCTTAACTAACAAATGTTAGGAAATAGGAAATTATGATATTAGTCATTATACTTAAACTACTTTCAACATTAACTTTCATTTCCTTAAGGCTGGTCAATTCTTTTTAATCTGTCTATTATCTGTCTGTAATAATCAGCATTATTTCTAAACAAAACCACTCGAGATAACGTTGCGTATTGTAACGAAATACGTATACTTTTGTTTGTTTGTTTCATTTAACGCCTTTTCCATATATTATTTCAGTCATAAAGGCGGGTAGTTTCCTTGCCATCGTTCCTGGAGAGTAACACCAGTACTAGACTACCTTCCTCCTTGCTAAACTACCAAAGCATCTCCCGGGGATCGAACCCACGCCAGAGAGGTAACTGGATTAGAAGTCATCGACTCTAACCACTCGACCACGGAGGCAGTTAAATACGTATATACCTAGACAATCAGTACTACCGTACTCGTCCCCTGTATTGACTTGGAATTAATTTGTATGTAGCTGACAAATAGATACGTCATTGTTACTAAATGTATGATCCAAAATGTAATTATCATCATATGACAAACAAAATCACTCTGCTATTTTAATGATTGACAATATGAAAGCCAAAGAATAGTCGCCGTTTTGTTTTATTCTAATCAGACATCGTAGGGGCGCTACATGGGTATAATCGTCTATGTATACGAAAGTAGAGCTTGTCAGCCAATGAAAATTCGATATTTTTGCATCATTTTGTACAATCTAATGAATATTTAAAAGATTTAAACCATAATCAATTCGGCAGTGTGTTACGAGTGAATAGTCTAAGAAAATCGATATAAAAACCTCGAACAATTTTTTTGATGATCATTGTTTTGAATGCCATGTCAGGACATTGTCAAGAGTGGAGAGAAGTTAGTATACATTTGGGAAGAAGTATCGGATCTGCTAGAGCTGCATCCGATTTTCTTGGAGGAACATATGTAGGCATGTTGAAAGCGCTTGCGCAAGTTCAAGTCCCTGTAAGTGTTACACGTTTTATACACTATATTATATATAATTACGTTATTTTTGTATTGATTTGAATACTGTGTGATATAGAATTTGAAATAGAATTACAAGGTTTTATACGTATATATGTTGTATTTCGTGCGTTTCATTATTTGTTTACGGGGACTCTAGGTCCATGAACATGTGGTTAAAATCATTATAAGATTTGACGACCTCGTTGGCACTTGTGTAATGCATGTGCTAGCAACGTCTACTCAGGTGTCCGCATGCATTAAGGGACAATTAAAGTGTAACTTTTAAGCCGACATAAATAAATTTGTATCACTTACCTACCAATATAATCTTATATATGAATAAAAGATTGTTGAAGGTTATTCATAAACATCATCATACGCAATTTTAAATTTCATTTTAAAAGTAAATATATCTTTTAGAATTACACACATAACTTCATAGTAGTGTTTATAAACTTAAATATCTATAACCAAACTAATAAAATGACAAATCTTAAGACGCTACCTTACGCACTTCTGCACAAATATATCTTTAACATACGCTTCGTAAAAGAAATTCAAAAAACAACATTTTTAGAAGATCCTTTTTGGAAAGTTCTCAGCCATAAATTGTTTATTTTTACGTCCATCATGCAGGGTGACGTCACAACGAGTCGTTATTATGTCTACTTTTTTGTCAGTTTTCGGAGTGGACAGGTAAGCCCGCTTATGGTCATATGTAATTTATCTAAACGCTAACAATGAGAAATATGTATTTTCTATGAACGTAGATACATATTTATTTACATTGTTTGTTTTTTTAATATTCTTCAATTGAAAAACACATTGAAATGAATGATTCTATGTCGGTTGAAAGAATCTCTGCATGCCATATCTATAATTATGTCTCAATAAGAATGAATATAATTATCATCATTATCATTTTGCTTACTTTTTTCATCATATGCATTAGAGCCTTAAGTTGTGTAGGTCTGTTTATAGTAGCAAAAACCTCACTTGCACAAAAGTTGAAAATGTTTGAAATAACAAGAAGAAATAAAAGCATGTACATGTACATGTAATTGTTTCAGTTTGAAATAAAACAAGATTTCTTGATTTGTTGACATTATGTAAAGTTAATTAAATGATCGAGTGTTATAATTTCAGATTAGAATATGCAAAGCCATAGTATTGTGGAGATCCCAACAAACTTTTGAAATAATAACTGAACTGGCGAGGATGGTTTGTAGATCAAAACAAATCAAAAGTTCACAATCAGACAAATTACTTCACAATTTGTACCCCGGGACAGTTACATTGCAACTTGTATATATCAGATTGCTGAGTGTTTTGATATTCTTTCTCTTTTTGTATCATAGTTTGGGGACCTTTCTATTGAAAGTGTGTAAGAGTTTAATCGCATACATACATATACGTGCACTGTGCGTTAACTGGAGAGCAGGACTATTAGTTACCGGCACTCCAGAGTAAGCCAATTTGTTGGGTCATTTTTTTCTGGGGTTTAATTATTGTGACGGTAGAAAAAGGGAAAGCGGTAGAAATATCATATTCAGATGCTCGTTCATTGGTTTTTTTTTCTTGGGTTTCATATTGTTACAACAACATAGAACGTGTTTTTATGTTTGACTATGATACAAAAGAGAAAGGCCATCAAAACACTCGGCAATCTGATTAATACACGGAGAATACGACCCTCTTACAAACCAAATAGCCTCGTGTTTCCATGCTCTTTCTATTACGTATCGAAGACGGAAATTAAATTACGTTCCCTGTCGTCACAATATAAAAATCCAGAAAAAGTAAATTATGTTCGAGCATTTGAATATGACTTTTCTATCGCTATTATCTCTCCCTGTCGTCGCAATAAGTAAACCCCACAAAAGCCAATCAAAGAGCATGTTCGAGACAGACAGTGAGTGATGGTAACTAATACCTGCTTCCTAATTAACACACTCTGTGTGAATTGGTATACTTCTATACGATTTTACTCTGACATCATGACAATAGTGAGGTCTCCAAACTAAGATACAGAATCTAAAAAAAAACAATTTACTGTACAATGTTCTGTCAGATTATTCCATATTAGCATTAAGGAAAAAAAACGTTTACAATTTTTTCACGTCATTGTGCTTGTTTGTTAATAAAAGCTAATAAAGAAAACGTTAAACCTTTGTGGAGTCTGCTGTTTCATAATCAATTAAAAATCTGCATAATATTTGACAAAAAGCTTTTATTTTCAATCATTTTCTTTTTAAGTTCTCGTTGAAATGAAAATTTTGCTGGATTTCGTATCCTAGAAATCAAATCGACAAAAGGACATATTTAATTTGTATATAGCAAGTACAAAAATGTTTATCTCAATGTTTCCTGCAGTGACAGTCAACAAGTGTTGCCTTTAAGGCTTTTGTGGCTTTTTTGAAGTATAATCATAATAACTTAAACACATATCATCTGACAAGCATTCAACATGTAAACACTACGTTGCTGAAACAAAATTTTCTTATTTGATAATTGCAATAAAAGTTTTTTATATTTTACAAATCAATTATTAACTTACTCTTTCTTTTTCTATGCCCAATTGCATACTTAATATGTCAATTAAAAAAAAGTTATCATAGTTTACAATAAATTTCCTCTAAGCAGAACATGATATACTGCACGTATCAATATGTGTGGCAGTTGTCATGTGACATACGGTGAAATTCAAGGAACATGGTAGGGAATTGGACTGTCGACTGTATATATATATATACAGTCGACAGTCCAATTCCCTACCATGTTCCTGTAGTAGGAGTAGTAGTGGTATTGGTAGTGGAAGCGGTGGTGGTTGGGGTAGAAGTAGTAGTAGGCGTGGCCGATTGCAATATTATTACATGTGTTTCATATATATGTACTTAAACTAACGAAAGAGGATCATGTAATTCAAATAAATGTCCAGTAGATTATTCACGCATATATAACCCGATAAAATAATATATAACAATACAAAAATAGAAATACACACAGAAGGGAAAACATAAAGAATTATCCCATGATAAGGTACACTGTAAAGACAATCGGAACGTCCTCGGCTATTATCTTTAATAACCTCGGAGTTAATACGGATTGAAAGTAATTCTACCACGTGGTTTCAAATGTGAACAGAAACAGAGACTGAAATCTTCGATAATGTAAAACAAATATTTGACATCCAAAAGAAAAATAATAAGCCTGTGTCGATACAATTATGATTGAACAGGGCCTTTTCAAATATAAAGACCCTGGATTGAAATTTGTCTGAATCTATGAATTTACTTTGGTGGCCTTTTATTTTATATATTAGGAAAGAAAACTTGTCAACAACTCCCAGCGTAAAATTACCAAGTGTTTACATGTTCAGTTTCTTAGCGTAGGTAAGGCCGAAATACAGTAAGCGTTCTGTGTATTCATGCCGTTGTGGCCTTATCCGAAAACTGACGGAAAGGGCCGACAAGTTAGGTTTGCCGTACATATACAGTTAAATACACATCTCTGTCCGTTTTCCTTTGTTAGTGCCTCAACGGTGGGGAAGAAAAACATTATCGCTAACTGACAGCTTACGTGCTCATATATTGACAACGAAGTTTTAAGCATAAAATGACATTTAAAAAAATATATAAAAATATGTTATGATAAATAATTACACGCAGAATGGCCAGTCGTCATTTATATCCAATCACTAATAAACGTATTATGTCCCTTCTTAAAGAGTACTTCTCAGTCGTGATATTCATGAACTACAAGCATATAATCCAGATTAATTAAGTAATTTTCAACATTTGACTGATATCTTACTTGCCTAATCAAATAGTAAAAAGATAGACCATCATGTTTTTTGTGTTTTTTTTTCAAAATAAAAACAAAATTAGAACAAAGAAACAAGTCTAAAAACACTAAGGTCTAAAAGCCTAAAAATAAAATTTGAATTTCTTACATAGATCTGTAACGACACTTAAAACAGAAAAATATGTATAAAATATTAAGATATATAGTTTCAAATAAATTAAAAATCGTATTTTCATGGCATTCTGAATCCGATTTGAGTGCAAAGCGCATTACATTTTCCTGGATTTTTTTTAATTATCTAAACGTTTGCAGTCAAGGCTCAAATGGTGCATAAATCGTGGAATATTATTTCCAGTCCCTTTATGTAAAAAACGTCAGTGGAATCCCTTTGAATACACAGTTCCATTTTTATTTTTTCTAAAATAATACATCACGATTAAAATGACGATGCAACAATATCAAGCATATTAAAATTTGCAAGAACTAAATAAGACATAAATCAGAACATTAAACATATCATCGTCTGTCATAGGTTTTGTTAATAGTATATATAAATACGGGAAATTTGTTAATTCAGCGGGATACACCAGAATGAGTAGTGTCATTGTTATTTTAATAAAGAAATAAACGTTATATGCACTTATGGAGCTTAAAGCTTGTTTAATTTTAATATTGCTGACACATTTTGTTGTTGCACCAATACCATCTTCAGAATGGCGTGAGGCTAGCATACAACTATGGCGGACTGTCGGATCCGCTCATTTTGCAGCAGATTTCCTTGGTGTGACATTTAAAAATATTATTTCAGCTCACGAAAGGAAAAATGTACGTTTTCTTTTGCATTTTTGATAAATTATTAAATATGTAAGATGCATTTCATATATATATATATATATATATATATATATATATATATATATATATATATATATATATATATATATATATATATATATATATATATATATATATATATATATATATATATATATATATATATATATATATATATATATATATATATATATATATATATATGTTTTTTATATGTAATATGATTTAAGAGTTACCATGATATTATTTGGTCAACCTGAGAGGAAATTTTATTTTACTGAGAAGGACCAACTAAATTTCAAGAATTTTATATGAATTCACAATAGTATTGATAAGAAAGACTTAAGCATAAACTGTCCGCAGTAATGAATATGTCATTTGTAACGCTTAAGTGATATGAAAAACATGTTCATGCATACCCTCGATCTAAGAAAAGTTTTCTTTTGCTATTACTCACATTTCATTGAAAAATGGGACATCCTTATTTTACTACTTTTCAAACGTATTCTGAAATTCATGTTCACAACAAGTATAATTTAGATCATCGTTTGCGGTACAAAAGATTAGTATTTTAGATTAGCTTGTATTATTCCTAATTATTTTGATTTAATGATTATATAACGTGCTCCGGTTGAGGCGGTATTTCTCCTCGAACATTTAATAATTATAAAAGTCATCTGCCTTTTACCATGTGAGATAGAGTCGTTCACATAAAAGAAATTCGTTATTACCGGTTTGAATTCAAGGAAAGCCGGTTAAGATGCGTTATAATAGAAATAAGAATAAACAAGACACGTGCTACTATTTTTATTGATGAACAATTGTTTAACCCTAACTTATATTCAAAAATTCAAAAATATATGTAATTTAATAATCCAATTTCTGCTTATTTTGATGGTATCTGGCGTACACTAATTTGAATAACTTAAACTATGTTATATAAATATACAATCTTTGAAGTAAGAGAATATGACATTCACTCAGTACTAAATTTACGGAACGTCGGTGGTTCTACTCAGGTGCCCGTTCGTGCCTGAAATACTGCACGGAAGGGCACCTGAGGTCTTCCTCCACCAGTAAAGCTGGAACATCGAGATATGACCTATACTGTGTCGATGTGACGTAAAACCAAAAAAAAAAAAAACAGTTCTAAATTAATGTTATTATTAGCTATTCGACCACATTTTAAAGATGAAAATGATCCTTTACAAAACAATAAGATATGAACATGTCGTTCAAGTAATTGTGAAACCAATTAGCCGTGTTTTTTTAGTTGCCCTATATCAATATTTTAATTTACTTTTTCCTCTCTCTCTTTTAGCCGAGGCCAAGGACTGCTGAGTATCGGGTACAGTTTACAGCTACATGCAATACCGGTGAAACAGTAAGTCTACAATATGCAAATTGCACAGGGATTTGCTTGATTAATACCAAAACGCATATTTTAAGATGACCGTTTATCATTTCACTTCTTGATAACTAGTGATAGATTCAGACTCTTTGCTATTTATTGTTTCACAACTTTATTATGTTTTGTACCAAACAATTTTCCATTGTAAATTATGTTCATGTGGAACCTTTAAAAAGATACCCACCCGCTAAGCTGAATAAGGAACGCACCGGAATTGTGAACTACGGGTCGCTGGTAAAAACCACGGGTTGGGGAAAATTTTCCTTGGCCTGTGATCTCGGGCATATAATCTCATCGCCATTTGTCCTTCACTGCTAATTAAGAAATAATACGGGATAAGCAGTCGGTCACTTGCGGAGAAATTTGTAAAATTATAAAAGTTAGGTAAGTTCAGGTAAGATAGATTGACAGCCGAGATATGATGAAAATATGTAAAAAAAAAGGCGTTTAAAACGAATAAGCAAACAATCTGACTAAAGTTCTGGGGCCGTATTCATAAAGAATCTTAAGTTTTAAGGGAAGAAAATCCTTAAGTCCAATAATTTCCCTAAGGTAAAAATTTCCTTAAATATTTCCCTTAAATATCACCTTAGGTGTTTTCTTAGGTAAGAAAAATCTTAAGGGAAAAAAATCCTTAAGTCAAAAATTTCGTTTAAATTTCATCGGTCTTTCCGTGTTAACCGACTGCCAGAGAAAATCCAAGATGGCGGACACTGACTTTGGAAATCGACACAGGGAATTGAAATGTCGCGTGAAATGGATTTATTAGCGGATATGTTACGGATTATACAACGGTATTTCAGGAAAATGGAGGTTCAACACTAGTGACATGGTTTGGGGCATATGTTCGAGGATCTTATGCTTCAAAAACATGTCGTTTTTGTTGACTTCACATGTTCAACGATAATTTTTT